TTGTGTTTCTTGTGAATTTGGTCTTAAATTTTTATTTCAAGTGGCATTAAAACGTCTTAAATTTAACTTGCCTTATGCTTTAGGAACCCTGCTACAGTGAAAGGTCAATCCACTAACTCAGATGTGACTGTATATAAATGCATGCTGTAAAAGATTGTGGAAAACCTTGATTATTTTTCCTCTTCTTTGCATTCTTCTGGTACTTTCTGTGTTTGGCTGTTGCATCAAATTTCAAAATACATTTACGTTTTTTTGGTTGAAATGTAAAACAAAAAGAGAAAAGTTTAAGTAATATAAATATGCACTGAACATGGTAAATGTCTGTCGTACTTTCTTTGTGTTGTTACAGATCATTCCAGTTGAAGGACTCATACAAGGAGATCTCAAAACCTGCTACGAGTTCATGAAGTGGTTAAAACTTTTCGTCACAGCAAATGCACAAAATAAAGATTACAATCCTTTGACAGCTCGAAACAACCAGGACATAACGCCAGTGTTCACATCTTCAGAGTCAGGTACCTGTATTTATATTACTTACACTACTGAAGAAAAGGAGAATGGGTCAGGTGTCTTTCATCACTGTGTTTAGAGTAAATGCTCTGTAATAAGAAGCTCTTCTTTTTCAGAAAACTCAGACAAGGAAAAAAGCAGCAGTGAAAGATCAACTAAAACTTTCCCATACACTGAAAATTGGAAGGTGGAGTTTGATTGGATTGATAAGAGCGTTCTCGGAGAACAGCATACCTACTGCACCTCCTGCCACACCAACCTTTCTACATACAGGAACGGCGCTATGGAGCTCCGGCGACACATGGCAACGAATAAGCACAAAAAAAGAGCAAAACTTTTCCAGAACAGCCAAAGGAAAAGCCAAGACGGCGAGCCGTTCCCCTGCAGCGATGCAGCTGTTCGTTTCATTTACAATCGCTGTTACACCGGATCGGCTAAAGGCGAACAGGTCTCCAGACATTTTGCGCGCTGTAAGCTGGGTCTGAAGTACCCCAAAAACCTCATCTCTGTTAGCAAGCACACTCCATACTGTGTTTACATTTATGAAGGGTTGACAGCTGGAAACAATGACCCTGTCACTGTACTTCTGCTGGGGTTTTTTGACTATGAATCATCTAATCACTGCATCCGTTTTCTGGATGCTGTTCAGTTAGCAGATGGCACGGCAGATCAAACTGCAGCAGATGTTGTACAGACCTTGAAAAGGTTTGAGCTTTCCACTGATAACCTTGCTTTTTGTTACAGTGGTAAGGGTGAAGCTTCAGAGCAATTTCTGCCACATCTCAGGGAGCTCAATCCAAACCTAATAGCCTTAACAGGCCTGTATACAATTACCGATGCTGCTTATCATGCTGGGGTTAAGGAACTCTGCAGTCAAGTTCAAGGGCTGATGGTAGACCTGTATGAACACTATTCATCCTGCTCTATGAAGAACGGCCACCTTAAAGGTCTCTTTGGCTCAGATATCATTAAGAACAGCAAGCCTTTTTACCTCAATATCAGCCTCCTTAGGTTTTACCAGCTGATTACGAACTTGTTAGAAATATGGAGTGATCTAATAACATACCTCAGCTCTTGTCCTGAGGACGATGAAAAAGCCAAGTCATCGTGTTTAAAGCTGAAGGATCCCAAGGTCAAGGCAACATTTATGTTTCTGGAACAGGCCTTAAAACCTCTGGAAAAATGTCAGCGGCTAATTGAGGAATCTTCCAGGGCTAATATGCCACTCATCCTAGAAGAAGCCAGTACGTTGCTTAGCACATACACATCTTGCTTCCTTCAGCATGATGCCGCCACCCGCTACCTCAAGGAACACGATGCTGAAATCCTCAAAAACAAGGATTTCCACCTCTCAGGAGAGGATCTCAATCTTGGTGGGAAAGCAGTGGAAGATTTCCTGAAAACTGATGAGGCTGCAGAGGTGCTTCCACAGCTCCAAGAAGACGTGCTTCCGTTTTACATTGCAGTGACAGCTCGCATAGCAGAGGAGCTACCTCTGAGTGACACGGTGCTAAGAAACGTTGCTCAGATGCTAACTCCTCAGAGCAGCCTAAAATTGTCACCAGAAGCTTTGGAGGAGCTGGGGAAAGAGCTGGGAATCTGCAGCTCCCCCAAAGAGGTCAGCCAACTCAAAGAGGAGTTTAGTGAATATCTTCTGGCCCAGGAAGGGAAAAGTAACGAGGAAATAAATGAAGAAACAACGGAGAATCACTGGGCTGCTGTTCTTCAAGGCACAGAGCCCTCCTCGGTGTTCAGAAAGCTGCTTTTAGCCCTGTTATCATTCCCAGGTCCTCCACTTGATGCTCAGCATGTTTTATCTCAGGTAATTCAGCAAACTGTGGAAACATTTGGACTGTAAGTAAAGCTTAAGTTAACTTTTAATAGTTAACTAATTTTGTGCTCCTGGTTCCTCTGTGTCTTACCAGGCTTTAGACAACGACACTGCAATGCTTTCTGGGAGTGAAAATGAGATCAATGACAGCCGCAAAAACCATCCCAAGGTTCACACTCTAGGTAATAAGCAGATAAATAAGAGCATCAAATTATGTTGAAATGAGCTTTCCATATACCTGATGTACTTGTGCTTTATTCCTCATATTTCAACTTGATCCCATTTTGTAGAATGGAATGGCTTTGAGTTGAAGCCCTGTGAAGTCCGCCTTATGAAGATAAACGGTAAAGTAGAAATTATTTTAATGATTTAAGATATTTTAATTAAAGTTTAAAAAAAGTATTCAGACTTATTTTGAAGGATAAAACACTGATGATGTTCAATGTCAGTAAAAATTCAATTTTGTTTCTGTAGATCTTTCAATGCTGGACGACTCGCTGTCGAATGAGGTATGTTAGTTATTTACATCTTATGTAATACAGGGTTAAATGTTCTATGACGATGTGATTTTACAGATCGTAAAAGATAGGAACTGTAATCACTGACTATACAAAGTTTTTCTGCCTTTGATAAAGATGTCTGTTTTTGTCAATTTGCATGCAGATGATGTTTGGGTGTAAAATTGATAGTCTTTTGTGTCACAGGGAGTCTGGCGGGGAGGTCATAACTGGGAGAGCAGCCTGCGCAAGCAACCACAGGCCCGTAAAGTCTTTCAGGCTGGTGTCTGTACATGGTCCAAACCAATAGACCTTATTAAAGGCATTAAAAATGGCCAGGAGTCCATAGAGAAAGTGGTATGTATATATAACTATTTTTATTTCCAGGTTTCAGGAAAGCTAAATAAACAGAACATTTCTCAAAATAATGCATTTCTTTGTGCAAAGACCAAATACCAGGCTATGTTGATGCTAGAACCATTATAATTGTGCAGATTTATAAAACTATTATTACTTTTGAATAAAACGTTTTTTTATGTTACTAAAAATACAAGGTATCTTACATAAGGCGAAAGGATTGTAGCTATTTCATATCAAGGCTCCTCTTTTAGAAAAGCATTTAATGGAGGGACAATATGGCAGTTGTTATAAAATCAATGTAAAGTAAAACAGTAGTTATACCACAACAGTCTGCCAGTATTAAGCCCCGGACACAGGTTTTAAATCTTTTTAATTACTGGTGTGATTTTTTTTCCAAGTGCATATAGAGGCAGATCCGGTTCTCTGCTGATTTTTTTCCAATTTCCATTCTGTGCCCCTTCCAATTGAAACAATGTCCCACATTTAAAAAGTAAAAAAAATAAAAATACATTAATGTGACTGTAAAGTTGGTTATATATATTTTTTCTCATAAAAAACAGTGATAAGCAGCACTTTTCTGTACTGTCCCTCGTTTTTTTGACAACCAACAACGATTTCTTTACTTTTTTTACTTTATCAGGTTTATGACCTCTGAACTCCTATCACAAGTAAAGTTTATTAAAATGACTTTTTTCCCTTGATATTGTCAGATTTTATTTTGTATTTCCCCAAAAGTGGATGTGCTTTACTTTAAATTTCTGCTGCATAGTCTGTCTAAAATCAGGGTTCCTGCGGGTCCTTAGAAAGTCTTAAAAGGCATTGAATTCTTCAAAATAAAACTAAGGCCTTAATTGGTATTAAAATGTCTTAAATCAGTCTTTCGTAGGTCTTAATTTTTAAAACATCATAAATAGGATTATTTTTGTTACACTTTATTTTTGTAATCTAAATAAAACATTAAAATTGGCTATTTTTTTTTATATAAAAAAAATAACGACTCGCCATTATTGGTTCCGTCCCGATAGCGGAACCAATAAAAGCGTTGTTGCGGCCGCGACATTTGGGAGATGCGCCATTAACTTTTTGTCTGGAAAATATGAGCAAGTGTAAATGTAAAGAAAATTGTCTCC